TTCCCACTAGATAGAGTACATGGAGTAAATACCTCAATCCTTTTGATATTTGGCTTGGTTTTATGACAGTGAGCAGACATGAAAGGATCAGCAGTTTTAAATGTGCTTGTAGGCTTAACATGGCCTCTTCTTGCTTTTTCCAATTATGGAAAGAATATGTCCCTGGTAGCCACTAATATTAGAATAATTATGTGATGTGGAACAGACACTTACCCACCTAAAAGACTGAAGTAATAAATAGCTATTAGAATTTAGCCAAGCATTGATGGTTAATAGCACAGTCTCTGAAATCTGACTTCCTGTTTTTATAGTCCAATCCTACCATTAGCTGGCTGCAAGATCTTTGACAAATCACTTTCATTTCTATTTGCATCAATATTCTTCTTAGTAAATTGAGAGTAATGGGGTTAAGGAAGATGACATGAGTTAATGCAAGGATAGTGCCTGGCACTTAGTAAATGTAATGAGAGTAGCAGGCACTAGACCGAGTAGAGTATATTCTAGGAATACAAGAATTGTTTGACATCAAAAAATGAATTCATGTAACTCACTAATTTAATTTTTGACAAGTTTAAGAGTCTCACTGCAGATATGTAGAATCTTAAAGCTGTAAGCTCTCCCTTTTCTCAAAACTAATACATGGTCTCAAAATTCTTCATACATTTCCTCCCAGACTCCTGCAATGAAAACTTTCTAGAATTGATTTAAAACATAATCAAAATGCATGATTATTATCCCACAGTTTTGTCATTGAGATCCTAGTTTCATCTTTGATTCATCACTACTTTGGCCATAGAGTTGTGTCTTCTTGAAGTGAAGGGTGCACAGTAGCTTTCTCTCTTATTTCTTTGCATATGTAAAGTGTAGAGAAAATGATGGTGCCAATGGTGGATAGTACCTGCTCACAGAAGAACCACATATCACTGGAGACAATGTTACTTCTTGGTCCACTCTAACTGGTTGTTGGGTCTCTTTATTGACTGATTACAAATGACAACCTTTCTCAGGAGCTAGTTATTCAGACAAGGGACTCTGTAAGGGTCTATAACTGGACATTCCCTACCTTCAACATCATATCAGTGGACATTTCAATTCATAGTCTCTTGTTCTTTCAGTCCCCATGTCCCTGTTTCAAGGGAAGCAACATGCTCATGATTAGAGTTTAAACCCTGGCTAACTTGCATGATATTCGCACAGCCCCAGGGAAACCATCTGAGTGATGGAAATACACATTGTCCCCAAACAGTCCTGCTCCCAGTTCTATTCTCCCATTTTCCATCTCCCCATGCCACAGCAAGATGAGGCCATCTGCTGATTTAGTATTTCAGTAATTTTAGAACAGGATATAATACCTGCATTTCTGCCTCAGGTAACTTAATCAGGGAAAGCAACGTAATTTGGACATCTCTATTTGCCAAGATTGGGAGGAAGATAGTATAGTCTCTTCCCTCAGTCCACAGGGAGAGAAGAGGAAGGGACAACTTCCATTCAAGATGGACCAGCCTTCCTTCCCCTCTTTACGGATCAAGGGGCTGGGAATTATTAAGTCACTCATGTTGAACAGACCCCTCCTTGCAGGTTCCATAGTTGGGTCCCTCGGGCATTTCTACAACCTTAAAATATGAGGCACGTAAAGCCTCTTACTCTCCCCTGTGAGATCCAGATGGTGGCACCCAGGAACAGTAGATGACTCAACCCACACTAGACACCATTTTAGTGTTATTAGATTAAAAGAAATGCCAAAGAATCATCTGATAAAGTTCAATACACATTCATGATTAAAATGAAGCACAGCAAGCTAGGAAAAAACCCCTAAAACAAGGAACATTTTCTATGATACAGTATTGGAAGTTATACATTCAGGGCCCCACCCAAAAGATATCTTTTATCATTGAATATCTTCAACAACATATAAGGGCTCCTGGCACCTTTAAAATAATATATAATAAATGTTAATTAAAAGATGTATGAGACTACTCCACACAATTAAGAAGACAGTTTAATTTAAAAAAATATATACTATCCTCAAATCAGGATTTTCTCCTCATTTTTTTGAATTCTTATTTCATCATGCTTTCCTACTTGGTTGATTCTATCTTCCTTCTGGTCCACTGTATTGTTTTGAGACCCAGTTTCCTTCCCTTCACTATTGGCTCTCTTCCGTTTATCTTCCTGCATCTCTTTTATGGTATCCTGCATCTTTTCGTCTAATTTGCACCCAAAATCAACCAATTCCATGAGCTTGCTGATCACCAGTGTTTTGAACTGTGCATCTGATAGACTGGCTATTTCTTGGTCGCTCAAAAGGATGAGTTCTGGGGCACAGATTTGTTCTATTTGAGCCATTGCTTTTTTGGTATGGTCGTTCTTGTTATGGTAAGGGGCAGAGCCTTAGGTGTTCACTGGGGCTGGGCACCCCAGTCACTAGATTGTGACCTTGTATGTGGGGGCGGGTGTGGGAGTGGGGACGGGAGGAAACAGTGGTGGTAGTTCCGTTCTCCTGGGATCTCAGTCCCTTCTCTGGGATCCTGAGCTGCGAGCTCTCCCCTGGTCCACAATTGCTGCCTTACTGGGTCCACTAGCCGCAGCTTGCATACTCAGGGACCACCACGGCGTTCTTGTGAGCCGCCAAGTTTTCCCTGACCTCCGCGCTCTGCCGACCCGCGTCCGCCCGGCTTGTCCTCTCGGCCCGCCTACCAGTCTGGAAGTACGGGTCTACTTCAACTTCTTGGCTGTCCGACTTCCATTCAGATAAATCCTCTATCAGTTCTGAGTGTTATTCTAGCTGTAAATTGTTGTTCTAATCTTGGTTGTGCGAGGAGGTACGGTGCGTCCACCTATTCCTCCATTTTGCCAGAAGTCCCAGGATTTTCTATTATATGTTTTTAATAAAGAATATTTTCAAAATATATATAATATTAACAATATATATGAAAGTTTGGGGCCTGAAAGGAATTGAAAAGATCACTGGATTCCATTCTATCTGCTACCAAACAAGCTTAGGCTAAGAGAGAGTAGTATCTTTCAGGTAGAAGTATTTTCTATTTGACACTGGTAGTGCAATAAAAAAATTAATCATAATAAATAAGCAAAATTTCTATCATTAATAAATATAATCAAATATTTATAAAATATAAAATGACCAATTATATTAGAAATATTAGGGGATAAATGAGAATCCATGAAGGTGGCTCAATATAAGTTCAACAAAAAAATAAATCTTATAAACCAGCAATAATTAATTTAAAATGTGATAAAGTGACATTGTAACAATAGCAAATAAAACCATAACATAAAAAAGGAACCTAATAAGAAATGAGAAAACATCAATTTTTAGAGGATTAGACTGTTCATCTGTAAAATAGGGAACATATACTTCTCCTTGCTCTTTGAATTTTGGGGAAGGTTCAATAATTTGTCTGCTGGGCCCTAAGCACATGTAGGAAGGTGACCAGATTAAAAATTACCATTCACAAAAGAGTGAAAAATATTTCTGCTCATTCCCATTTGGCTTTGTGGGTTTTGGTCCACAGCTTACTCTTGCTTAAGAAAAGAACTATATGCAGTGAGGAAGAGCATTCAAAGATGAGAAGGTGGGAGAAGTGGGAACCTTTCTGAAATGGGACATGTATATGGTTGCTTCCTTAAGCCAGTAGGGACATGATACTATTCCCACAGAGCACTAGGGCATAGTCCCATTGCATGCATACCTGAGACTGGGGTGGCTCACAGAGACCTGGGACAGCCCTGGTTATAGAAAACATCCAGGTGGCCAAGTGAGAAATGGAAGACATGATATCACCACCCAAAATGGACTACATAGACTTAGAGCAGGAGTTATCTTAATTCCAGACATCAACACTGGTATTTTTCCAGATGTTTTCTGTATTTCTTTATTTGCCCAGAAAACCTGTGAGTGGAGAGCAAGTTGCCCTCCCACTCAACAAAGAAAGCATAACCTGAGACTGAATTTTCCATTTTTTAGGTAAGTGGGGGCTCAGAGCCAGTTAAGTTGATTTATAATAATACAGAAATATAATGTTTCTTGGAACCAGAGCAATGGAAGCTGATGTTAACACATGCATGAATTATTACACTTAAATCATCTCTGTTCAGTGAGAGAGTAGGGTGGATACGATTATAAGCTTCAGGTCCAGGTAGATGGGTTTGAATCAAGTCTCTGCCACTTGTTCTATGTAATAAAACTCAAAAACATTTAATTTCTTTAAGTTTCAGTGTCCTCATTGTGTCTTCAGTGTCTTCAGTGACCCTTAAAGACCCTAAAAGACATGGAAAATAATGCTCATCCCATGGCATTTAAATATTTAATAATTTATTTGCCAGAAGTGCTTGTTAAGGTGTTTGGTACATAGCATGTGCTCAATAAATAGTCAGTGGTATGATGAGTGGTATGAACACCTCATGAGATCTGAAGTTGTGTGGAGATATGAGCATCAGCAAGAAGTCACTTGGGTTATATTTGGGGTGGGGGTAAGATCTTCTCTGGAGGTATAGACTATTTGCTTTGAGGTTGGGGAGTTGAGTTGACACCCAAGACTCAAGGGAGTGGATAATGTACGCCAATCATTATGGTTGGGTTGGCCTTCACTATGCTGGGGCACCAGTGATGCTCTGACATCATGGAGAGCTGCTTCTATCATATGCTCAACCAGAACTGATAAATCTTAATGAGACTGGGTAGGCAGTGGGCTGCAGAGAAAGAGTAGAGGGGGCCAGGAAGCAAGCACCTCCTGTGATTTTGGAGGGAGCTTCCAACCCAGCATCTCACTGTTGCCATCTATAAATGAACTGAATATGAAGAGGAAGAAAGAAGTCTCTGTCTCTTGACACAGGGCTAAGTTAGGAGTGGCTGCCTAAAGTGCAGTGCTGAGAAGGAGATCCAGGGGGTATGTCAGACTAATTAGTGATCTAGGGGGAAGCTGATGTTAACAGCTTCTCAAGTAGGGCTCTACTCGAGAGAGGAGTCACCTCCTACTTGAATAGCCACAAGTAAATTTTGTTACAAAGGAGTTATAGCATTTCATATATCAGGTGGATCTGCAGGATAGAAGCTGAAAAGCAAGGCAGGACCCTATCTCTTCCATGGCCTTGATGCGTGGTCAAAACTCACAGATGGCTAGTCGGTACTGCAGGCAGCTCTTATCATTCCACTGCCCATCTGTGTACATCTCCACACACTTCTCTTTACCCTGACCCCTAGGCTCCCCTGGGTACCAGTTGGTATAATTCACAGGGGTCCTATCCAGGTAGTAGAAGACTCCAGAGATAGGGTCCCCAGCTAGACCCAGGTAGGTATAAGTGTTGTGCTTCTTCACAATGCTTGCAATGGCGTCATTCTCTTCTGGGCTCCTTGGGACTGCAATGCTGCCACCAACTCTGTCACATAAGTCTCTAATGGCATCAAAATTGGCTGACTGCCCATTGGTGGAGAAGATCTTCTCTCCCACTCTCAGCATGGAACCCTGCAAACTGAGGACTGAGAGCAGAGGAATATGGGTCAGGCCACTGGCCTCTTTGTCTCACTTGGGCTCTGCCTTTATACTCTCTCCAGTCTCTTCATCTCTGCCTCTGTCTTCCCTCCATCTTCCAATCCTAGTCTTTCTAAATTCTCCTCTGTGCTTTCATCATTTTATTCATTCACTTATCCATTTAACAATTATTTTTTAAACTGTCTTATTATGTGCCCAATATTGCAATTTTCTGGGATTCAATAGAAAGCAAGATAGGCAGAGAACTTGCTTTCCCATGACATGAGGAGCTAATCTATCTCCACCTCTGTCTGCTTTGGGCCATCAAAGACATCAGAAAAGGGAAGCATCATTATTTTCCCCAGAACATGCATGTCCACACCCATACTAGGTTCTGGAGCTTGGTGCTGAAGATGAGGAGAAATTAGGGAGAGCCCCACCCTGTGTTATATGTCCCTAAGAGGCCCCTTACCTCCTGTTGACTGCCAGATTTGATGCCTCAAGTTGTGGAGTGTGTTTTGGAGCTCCTCATCTAGATAAGCTGGAAGCCCTGTAGAGAAAACCCCATACAGTATGAGGGCAAGCCAACAGAGACCTCAGTTGCTGCCAAGCAGGTGTGATACCACCTGCAAGCCTGACATTCTTCTCTCTATTTGTCCATACCCACTGTGTAGGCCCGAAGTTGTAAGGGTCCATTACAGTGGAGTGTGTTTCCATACTCCCAAAACATGTATCCTTTCATGCAGACTTGTACCTGCTGAGCCTATCTCTCCTCTCCTCTCCTGCCACAGTTTTTAATGGCTCTGTCTGTTCACTTCTGTGGGTTTCTCTAGTTTCTGCGCAAAGGTCCCTGTCCCAAGGGTAAGTGTGGTTCTCTTTGTACTTTCCTGATGGATCTTGATTACTGTTCAAAGCTTTGGAGTTTTCCTCTGCATATGGGGCTCCCAACCACACCATCTGCTTGGATCTTTGGTCCACAAGACCCACTATACTTTTCAGAATGCCCCCAGCACCTCACCCCTAGGAAGGGACTCCCCTGCCTCCCAGTACTGCTCCCTTTTCTACACCCATCACCCTGTGCCTCCCATCACAGCAGCTGTGTGTATGGAGCACTTTCAACACCCATCAGTCCCTGCATTGTGGTCTATTACCCATACTCTTCTGATTTCTCTCCACAATCCTGTAATCTCTTATTTAGATTGAGCAATATGCCCTTTGGGAGCCTCCACAGTTTTGTCTGATCCCCATCATCTCTCATGTGACTATGTCATGGGCACTGTGTTCAGGTTGCCATTGCCCACCTTCCCCACCTTGCTCACCTGGAGGGCCCCTCTCACCAGGTTCTCCCTTTTCTCCATGCTCACCAGCAATGCCAGGGGCTCCAACCAGCCCATCACGCCCAGGGAGGCCTGGCATTCCTCCAGGGGGGCCCATGGGGCCTGTAGAGAGAAGGGGACATGGATATATGATATCTATCATCCATAACAAGGTTAGATTGGTGTGCCTGGACCTCCATTATTAGCCAGGCTGACTCATCTGTTAGCACGGAGGTACTTTGAGGAGAAACCCTGCAGGGGTGTTCCAGTCTAAGGGCTCCAGGAAACTCCCACCATGCCCCACCATCCAGCTGACCCTTGGACCAAGTCTAGAGCCCTGAACACACTGGGCTCCTGAAAACAGGTCACTGTCCCTCAGCTGAAGAAAGGGTCCCCCAGCCAGTACCTGGAGGTCCAGGGTCTCCTTTGATTCCATCTCTTCCATCTCTGCCTGGCAGGCCATGTGACCCTGGAGTGCCAGGGATGCCTGAGCTTCCAACACAAATTTCCTTCACTTCGCACTCAATGCCAGAGACCATCAGTAGGATGAGGGAGAGGGCCAAAGAGCACAGCAACATGGCTCCTGTCCCAGCTGCTCCTCCTGCAGAAAGAAAGGGCTGCCAGACCATCTGAAGCATTTGCAAAAGTCTCCCCTTCCCTCCCATGGCTGAGCCTCCGGGCTAGGGCAGGTATAGGCAGGAGCTCTGGGAAGACCCAAATTATTATTGGAAACTCCTAGCATCATCTGGCATCTAACATAGTCTCATGCCCCATTGGTCTGGCTTGGGGTGGTGTCATACCTGGGCAAGTGAGGAGGTATAGGGTAAAAAGATCTGGAGAGTCAGGGCGCCTAGGTTCTAATGAAGTCTCTGCTTGTACCTTGTTGTATGACCATGAGGAACTCACTTCACCATTGCTAACTTCAGCTAAAATTTCCTTGCCCTGGAGACAATCCTAACCTGTCCCTCTTGGGAAGAGGATGTGGCCATTCATCTACTCTGTCTCTTATCCTCTCAGCTACCCTCTTTTCAGGTACTAAGGGACCATGTTCCTGAGAATGAATGAAGATAACCAGGGTCCATGGCCTGGATACTCCAAGATAGTCAATGATGGGGAGACCCCCTCCCCCTGCTGGGGTAACCCCTTCTCCTTGGCAGGCTGTTCTTTGCAACGTGCCCCCCCTCCCCGACCCTTAGCAGTCCCTGCTGAAATCCTGGTGGGAATGGACCTAGCTGAGGAACCCAGCAAAGTATAAGGATATTTGCAAGCCTTTCTGCTTGCACCATCGTTAAAATTTTGTGAAACAACTGCAGGGGTGTGGGTAGAGGCCCCCTTCTTCCCAGCCTGGCTCTGAGTTAAGCCTATGACTGATGGGCTGGTTCTCACTGTCTCCAATGTGTGTATTGGAGAACACCCAGGAGATGGAGCTTAACTCACCTACACACACAGAGCCTACGTGGATCTCTACCTCCAGGTCATAGTGGAGAGGTAGACTGCACCATTTATACAGATGCAGACTTCCCCTGCAGCCTGGAGAGGCTCCTGTCACAAGGACCTCTATGCCAGGGAGGGCCAGTCAGGAAGAAGTCTTATTTACACAGCACATTTCTTCACAGAGCACTCAGGCTGGAGGGGTACTTAGGAAACCTGCTAAAGAGAAACTCCAGGTCTGTAAGAAGGGAAATTGCTCATGGGCTAGAGGCTCCCCACTCTTCATAACCAGTTTCCAAGCAGTGCAGGATAAGAGTACTTACACAGGGCTAGGAAGCCCTCCCCCACCTGGACTTCCCCCCACTATCCTGGCTGGTGATACTTACATGCAAGGATCATCATCCCCCAAATGCCCACTGCCAACAGAGAATATCAAGGCTAGATTCTTCCCAGGAGAGCAAAGAAGCAGATTAACAGCATGCAAGGATATATCCACGTGACTCCTCTCTGGGGCCATGCTAGCTCCAGAGCCTCTTTAACTCTTGGAAGGTTCCATGTGGTCCCAGACAGTGGAGAGGCCCTGATTCAAGTTGAGGGTCATCAGGTTGATTTGGAACAAACTATCTGTCATGGGATGTGCCTCAGCAATGAGCTTCCAGGCCTCCCAGCTCGTGCTTCTAGAGCCTGTGGCTGAGTTGGTGGCCATGTGGTTCAGAGTGACAGGTAATGACGGTGGCATTACAGGTAACACATATTCCCCTTTGCTCTGCATTGACAGATTCAGCTATGGGGAGCAGGGCAGGGCCTGAAGTCACAGGAGAGCAGCAGGCTCTGCCTTTGGCCATGGGTGATATCTGATAATCTGCAATGATGACGTGTTTAAGTGGTGAAATAATATGTGAAGCCCTAATTCATGATATTCCTTATTCAAGCCACTTGATTAGGAGGAAATCTCAAACAGTAGGATTGGTAACAGTGCAGAACTAAGACAAGAAAAAATTGCCATGCTTACTTGTTAGTGGTTTGAAAAGTCTCGAGATCCTCAGGAAGAGCTGGAGAACTTTTGCAGAGTGGGAGCTCAGCTAATGGAACCCCACTCTTGGAGACAGGAAGCCAGCCAGAGCTTACTTGGAGCACTGAGTGCTTTCAGCTGCCCAGCCACTGCCAGCCATGTGCCCCAGTGTGGGTGCTGGGCCAAGTGGGATGGAGGAGCCAGGGCCAGGGCAGGGCCGGGGTCAGCTGGGGAAGCACTTCCATCAAAAAGACTTCAACTCTGGTTGGGAGAGGGAGGCTGTTCTGCAGGTGAAGGAGCAGGAACAGAGATCTTCTAGGGAAGATTTTGAAGGGTCTGGAGAGAGGTACCTGGGATGTCCAGGGCCATGTGCTTGGCGGGGGAGGGTGTGGATTTGGGAGTCAGAGAGGCCTGAGTTGAAATTTGGAGCTGCCACTTATTATCCATGTAATCTTGGTCAGTTCATATAAATGTCAGCCTTGGTTTATCATTTTTATTATTATTCTGAAACAATATCAAAAACTTATAGAAAAGTTGCAGGTTTAGTACAGATTTTTTTTTCTGAATCCATTAAGAGTAGGTAGCCAATATGATAGATCCATCACCCCAGAACTTCCACACAAATATATTTTCCTATACAACCACAATAGAACCATCAAAATCTAGAAATTAACATAATTCAGATATTACTTTTTGTTAAAAAGTGATAGAATATCATGGGGCATTTTATTTAATTTCTTAAGTTAACTGTTTATCTAATCATTGAAGTCACTCACAAGTTTAGTGGCAACATGCAAATATATGCCATATACAATTCTAATAAAATGACTATTCAATTAGCTACCTGGCTTTACCGCCTTCATCCTGTGTCCCACCATTTTCCCTTCTGCAACCTCTAAAAAGAAAGCACTGCTAGTGCACAGAATTGAGGGGTGCTTTTCATGTCTCTCTTTTTCTGATCATGATTTTTCTTTGTTCTGGAGTGTTCTGCCTGCCCTTTCTGACACACACAGGAAAGAGGGAGATGAAGGGAGGGAAGGAATGAATGAGAGAGAAAAAGGGAGAGAGAGAGATTATTACCCAGGTCTCCTGAAGTCCACTTTAAATTCTCTGTCATAAGATTCCCACAGTCAGAAGTCTGTGCTTGTCTTCATTGTACATAAAGACAAAAGGATAAACAAATAAATTTACTGCTTGGATCAAGGTTTAATTGCAGGAATCTAGGAGGCAGTTCAACAACATGAAGGAAAAGAATTGAACCTGTTATTCACTGGTACAATTAACATATTCAATAAATAAATACATATTATATTGCTGCCTTTCCAATGAGTGTAATTTCATTAAAAATAACAACAAATAAACCTATTTCTTGTCCCCCAAAAATGACAATTTGTTAAAAAATTCACATTATTTATTTTTCTCTTAATTTTCTACCAACACAGCCTTTTCACCTTTCTCCCTGCCCTTAGTATTGTCAGTACTATCCCGCGTGCCTTCTGAACTCCAGAGAAGCACATCATGTCTAGGCTTTTTTTAACCTTATAGAAGTATAATTGACATAACATGAAATTTAAGGTATACATGTTGAGTTAATACACATAATCATGAAATGATTGCCACAATAATGTTAATACCCTCATCACCTCAAATAATTACCATTTACTTTTTGCGGTGAAAATATTTAAGATCTATTTTCCTAGCAACTTTCAAGTACATAATGCAGTACTGTTAACTGTAATCACCATGCTGCACATTAGATCCCCAGACCTGATTTATCTTTTAACTGGAAATTTGTACCATTTGACCAACATCTCCCATTTCTTCCACCCAGCCCCTGGTAACCACAATTCTACTCTGTGTCTACAATTTGAGATTTTCTAGGGTTCCACATTATATAAGTGATATCACACACTATTTGCATTTTTTCTGTCTGACTTATTTTGGTAGCATAATGCCTTCAAGATCCATCTACATTGTTGCAAATGGCAAGAACACCTTCTTTCTTGTGGCTGAATTTTTCAATTTAGATATAGTGTGTATACACACACACACACACACACACACACACACACACATATACACATACACACAAACATTTAGGTTGTTTCCATATGCTGGCTATCATGAATAATGCTGAATAATGCTGAAACGAAAGTGGAAGTGTAGGTATCTGTTCGAGATCCTGTTTTCTTTTCATTATCTGGACTATGAAACTAGTACAGCTGCCCAGGACAGTCCTTCAGTCCTGCTGTCCTCAAGCTCATTTTTGGTGTGTCAAATAACATGATCATTCTCTGAAAAGATGGGGTCTGAATTCAAATATTCTTTTATTTTTTTTCTTTTTTAAATTTTATTTTAATTATTGTTCAAGTACAATTTTCTATCTTTTACTCCCATCCCAGCCCACCCACCCAGCCCTCCCCACCTCCCTCCGATTTCAAATATTCTTTTAGAGTTTTCTGTTTTTATCATGGAAAAAACAAGATCTCACTGTATTCTCAAGGGCTTTGTTACCTGAACCTTCCATGTTGCTCCTGCCTCATTCCTCATGGAAGGTTTCAGGTCTCTGAATCCTGGGGCTGATCTCTGTGAAGCACACAGAACTCCCAAGAAGGAGCCTTTCCTCCTTCCCACAGGGAATGTGTGAGTCAGTTCTGCTCTCTGGCGTCCATATGAAAAACTGCAGCTGCATGATCTGTAGACCAAGGTCACATATCACCCGCCCTGTTCATTCATCCCACCTCCATGAGGGCTCCTTTGCATCAGGTGCCTTGATAGGATGGGAACCATAGTTTAAACCTCTGACTTACCCAGGCTGTATCCACGAGGATCCTGCTTACCCATGACTAGTCTGATAGATTCAATCTTTGCCCTGTGTGAGGGCTTTTCTGGCTAATTGTCCCATCCTAAGTTGCCCACAAAAGCTGGTATACTGTTATATACCTGGAGAAGCCTAATGTGAACCACTGTCCATTTCTGAGCCCCTGCTAGGTACCAGGCACTAGCTAGTAGGTCCATTTATGGTATCTCTCTGAGGCTCACTGGAGGGGAGGCTCCCTTCTAACAGAGGAGGAAACTGAGGCTCAGTGAGGTTCCATAACTTACCAGAGGTGGGCAGCCTGCAGATTCTAGAACTCGATTCAAACATTTTCCAGCCAACTCCAGAGCATCTTAGGTGTGATTTTCCTGAAGAACCCAGCACATTCTCTGCCCACAATGCCCACAGTTGTGAATCAAGCCCTGGACAGGGTGTCCCTAGACTGTTATTCTGCATAGCAGACCTCTTCCAAGCCTAAGGTCCTAAGACTGCTTACTGTATCATGCAGAGGCTCCATACGGCCTTGCTCTTTGCCCATAACCTACATCAATCCCTGGGCATGCTTGATCCTAGCTCAGCTGGACTGCTGGGCACAGAAACACACACTTCAATCCCCAACCCCAAGGCAGAAGGTGCTCCAGAGCTTGGCACAGGGTGCCCCAAGGCCCTTGGCACATTGTACAAGCAGTGGTGATATTGGGGAGGCCTCTTCACTCTAGATGACAAGAATGAGGGCCCCAGCAGCCCATATCCCTTGGTAAGGTGGAACAGAAATGAGAACCCCAGCCTGTATCCATCTTCTGCTGCCCTGAGTAGCTGAATTTGGTAAAGTCCTGGCCGGGGCCCTGACAACCAGAGTGCAGCAGCCCTGCAGGACTCAGACCACCAGGAGCCTCCTGGGCCTCTCCTTCTATACTCCTTCCCTCCACACAGTCAGCAGGGCACAGCCATTCTTTAATAAACTACTGTTTATGGAGACCATGAAGTAAACTCCACTGTTCTCTTACCACTGAGTGACAGAGAAGCACTGGCAGGGAGAAAATGCTCTAATATTTCTAATGTCTCTGGTGGTTGAACTGTCTCCAGATGTTTTTTAAGAAAGAGTGGATTGTGTCATCAAATTCAATATAACTCCTTGTGTTCTCTAGAAATTATATTTAATAGTTTAAATAACCACTATTTACTAAATTCTATCCAGGAGTTTATTTATAATACTGAGAAAAGGTAAAATCTAAAAAAAATCCAAGAAAAAAGTAAACACTTATATAAAAAGTTTTTACACTAAACACAGATATAGATAATTTTAAAACACATTTGAACAAAAGTGAGAGAGTACACAGTGCCTCATGGTGATTTGGGACTTGGACTAGCAGGATCATCTGCAGGCTCAGTGGAGCTTTGAGGCAACTCATTTCCATTTTCTGGATAAGGGTGTCCAGGGAAACCTCAGCCCATCAGGGACAATACAGAGGATGATGATTGTAGGAGGGTGCAGCCAGAGGGACCCTGAAAGAAGGACTTGTAATGGGGTTCAGAACCCAAGGTGTCCAGGAAATATTAGAAATATATATAGGCCTGGCTGGCGTAGCTCAGTGGATTGAGCGCGGGCTGCGAACCAAAGTGTCGCGGGTTTGATTCCCAGTCAGGGCACATGCCTGGGTTGCAGGC